TTTCCGTCCAAAATTTCTTAAAAAGTAATTAAAGCGTTCCCTCCAAATATTGCTTCCGAAGGATTCATATTCACAAAATATAAAACTGACCGAGCGCTAAACTGCCAGATACATACATGAATGTTGGACATGTACAATAGTTTGCTCCAACAATCCAAAAATATCCGGTTAACAGAGAGTTGAGTGATATGGCCGCCATATCATATATCCCTAAAAACTGCGAACGCTCTGAGAAGTTTCTTGTGGAAGTGCTGTTTCTGGAAAGGTTTTACCTACCTAAGGCTATCATAATCTTGTAGCATGACAGACGGCGATATTGGTTCCTTACCATCACCGACAAATCCAAGATGTAAATAATCTGGAAAAAGAATAGAAATTTGCCAATATTTTTTATAATGTCATACAAACGTGAGAGGTACTGACCTCAGCTATTAATCCATAGACAATTAAAGCCGCACCCAGGGCGTAGTGCGTGACACCGGGCTTTCTGTCGGATTGTCTGCAAACAGATTATTATAACTATTTTGTCCTAGAATATAACGTTTTATAGTATGAGACATCCTAGCTAGGGATGTGCACTAACGCAAAGGTACCTTGAATTACAAAGTAAAGATTAGTCATCTTGGAATCAGAGTAGTACAAAATATACTCTTCTTCGAAACAGTGATTCCATAAAAAGAAGTGTCATGTTATAAGAAATTTCATTGTGTAAGCGTTAATCTTTATTATCTTGCAACATTCCAAGGACCAGGTTTACATATTAAGGCAAGATTCACTTACACGCAATCGTAACCAGGTATGTTCTCCGCGTTGCCACCATATTCGATAAGCCATTCCATCTAGAACGATTCGGATAATTCAAAAAGAACTCAGAACATGAGGAACAACGATTGGGAGAGCATGATGCCATGAGATTGTGCGAAGAGATTAAAGGACATAATCCAAGGTTAATCTTGTAGGTGATGAGTGCTCATTCTTAGTTAAGATGAAATGATGTCAAATAAGGCTGTCTATATCATATCTCTATGATGACGCTATGGGACTACAAACCTTTGGTGCTTTTCAAACAAAGTCTTAGGGTGTCCTAAAGCTCCACTTGGATTTAAACGCCTGCTCGAAAAAATCCAACTAAGATACTTACTAAAGGGATACTCAGCCAGATTAATTAATTGCTACTTTCGTATTTGAGTATACCATGAAAATCAAAGGACAAAAGAGAGCGAAAATTGTCTTTTTTGCTGCCGTGATATTGCGCTTGATGATAAAAATGTGAATTGCTCTAAATAAGTCCAACTCAATATTTCAGCTTTTTTT